TGTTTGATCATCTGATATGTGGATGACTTCAAGGCCAAGCTGGCTGCACAGGAAGTGGATCTCAAGCAGAAGAACGAGGATGCTGACATGCTCATCCAGGCAAGCACATCTGCTCCTTTTACACAGACTTAATAAAGATATTGGTCATTGTATCACATACAGTGCACCAGTGATATCCAGCCTCGCAGATACCTGGTGTTCTGCTGCTCACGTTTTGAGAACTCTTTTGAGATTTCTTTCTATTTGCTGTACGGTAAACTTTCGTTGCAGCCAACAACATTTAAAGTTCAGAAGACCTTTATTCTTCCCACTTAGGGGATATTTACACAGATAAGTCTAGATGGACACAAATACAAAACACAACAAATTAGATAAAGGGCATGCACCTAATAATTTAAATGTAAAAGTTATTCCAATTTACATGAAACATTTGTAATAAAGTTTTCCAATTTACGTACTGCACACAAGTGTTATTTCACAACAGTGGTGTCTGTGTTTATATGGGAGGGTGCGGGTCTACCAGGGGCCATGATGGTTGTAAGGTGTGACTGCTGCAGAAAGGAAGGACCTTCACATTTTAAGTTACAAATGTAGGGATCTTGTGAGCCGGTTTCTCGGTTCTTTATGTTCATCAATCAATGTTTATTTATATAGCCCAATATCACAAATGTTACATTTGTTTCAGTGGACTTCACAGTTTGTACAGAATATTCATGCAATGTCTTGTCTTGTTTGGGATGTTATTTATTGCATTGTGTCCATGCAGTATAAAATAAGCCTCTTACTGAAGTTGTACTACTAACCCAGGAATAAGCCCTGTGTGTTCAGGTGGTCGGGATAGAAACTGAGAAGGTGTCCAAGGAGAAAGCAATAGCTGATGAGGAGGAGCAGAAGGAGGCGGCTATAGCTGTGGTGGTGAGCGGCAGACAGAGAGACTGTGAGGAGGACCTGGAGAAGGCTGCTAACGCTGCTGGCCGCTCAGGACTAGGGTTGGGAACCGAAACTCGGTTCTCATGAGAACCGATAAGAAAATGCCGGGTACCGGGTACCCATACAAAATACAGAATTTCGGTTCTGCTTAACGGTTCCTAAACGCGGTAGACCCTGTATTCCACCGGGTCCTTCTGTGCCGCGGTGACCCGGTGGAATACAGGGTAAGGGCGGACTGGCCATCTGTGTGTTCTGGAGAATCGCAGAATCGGCAGCGGGCCGTTGACGGCCGGCTCGGTACGCTGACGGCCGGCACCGCCCTTAATTTTTTAAAACGGCATCATGTAAGTTGCGCTGTGAGGCGACAGAGGTCCACAGTTGCCCCGCAGCGAGGCTCCACCCGCCCTCCCGTAGACAGTTTGCGAGCTCAGTCACTTCATTTTTTTATTTGTAAAAATGTCAGTTAAAGCTTAAAAGAATAAAGATATTGTAACGTCCGAGGTGTTAAGGCTTCAAACCCAATGCTTACAATATTTTTGTTATCTAAACGTTTGACCTCATTCTTTCATAATTTTGGAATCGAAACGGGGAATCGATAAGAACCGGAATCGATAAGAACCGGAATCGATACATTTCAAACGATACCCATGCCTACTCAGGACGCCCTGGACACCCTCAACAAGGTCAGCCCCTCTGTCCTATTGATCATACTCTTCTCTTTGTTTTCTTCTTTTTTAAAAGGCCAGTTCCTCTTTATACTTTTTCCCAGCTTTAGCAGAATAAGTTATGTCCACACAGGCCAGCTTCAACTGTAGAACAGATAACTGAATCACAGGCTTTAACTAGGTCTTTGCTAAAAAAAAAATGCTCTATGTTCTGCAGGTATTTCCCTTCATCTTGGCATCCCTTGTAGTCTTTCTAAGCAACCTGTGGGATTTTCAAAAACACCCTCTGTGTTTAAAAGGTGCTCTGTTCAAACCAGCAGAACAGACAGTTCAATCAGTGCTCACAGCTCTCTAAAGATATCCTAATTAGAATTATCTGTTTTCTTCTCAAAGTCAGAAAAGGTTCTGCTTCCTTTAGTCTCATCTCATCCTTTATTTCACTCCGCAGCCAACAGCAGAGATATTTCGTTTTTAAAACTCAATTAAGTCACAGCTCTTTTATTTTTAATCCATTATTCCCTCCATCTTGCCTTCTTCAGAACAACCTGACAGAGTTGAAGTCGTTTGGCTCTCCGGTGGCGGCAGTGACCAACGTCACAGCCGCCGTCATGGTGCTGACGGCACCTGGCGGCAGGGTCCCGAAGGATCGCAGCTGGAATTCCGCCAAGATGATGATGGCCAAAATGGACGCATTCCTGGACTCTCTGATCAACTTCAACGAGCATAAGATCCCAGAGGCCTGCCTGAAAGCGATGCAGCCTTACCTGCAGGTGAGCAGCCTGCAAGCGTCAGTCATTGCAGTTTATAAGTTAATATATATTAAGTCAGAGAATTAGCATGACTATCGTGGCTGTGGCACGGCACAATATCGCAGTGTCAGGGCCGGCTCTTGACAATTTGCAGCCCTAGGCGAGATTTGAGTTGGCGCCCCAGCCAGAGAATCTTACAATAGGAAAGATAAAGATCAATAGAGTATCCAAGGAATACACAATAGAAAGGGGGTTGGACGTCACATCCTCTAGGGGGGTCCGGAGGTATGCCCCCCCGGGAAGATTTTTTTAACATTTTAAAGGTCACATGTCATGCTTTTCCGGTTATTACCCGTCCTCTTGTGTGTTATGAAGGTTTTTCTGCATGTAAACGGTGTGCAGAGTCAAAACCCTCAAAGTACACCCTGTAGCGAGTAAAACTCTAAAAAAGAAAATACCTCCCCAAAATGCCTCGTTGGTGAAACGTCATCATGACGTCATCGTCCATTTGATTCTTCCGGGTACNATGGCCGGTACTATGGGAACCGTTTGGCTCACTCTGATTGGATGAAAAAGTACATTTCATCGTGCTGCTTCACAGTGTGAGTTGTCAAACCTGCAGACTCCTCTCTCCTCTCCCCTCCTAACCCCCCACCCCCCCCTCCAGGACTTCTGCTCTGTTCACCCCTCCCTCACATACGGGGGGCCGCAGGTTGGTAGTTTGTGACTGGAGTACTTGGCATGGTTTTTGTTTGGCACACGGGAAACTAACAGCTACAAACACTTTCAAATGAAATGAAAAAAATCATTCAATTCCTTATGTTACATCAGCACTTACTGAAACACACATGAAGAGGTTACATGTAGAGCACGAGAGCGCTAGGACCCAACGGCGTCCTAGCACGACAATAACTTTGCCTCTTTGTGCCACATTTATTATTTACACTACAACTACCTTACCCATGGTCGTTCCTTAAGGAAAGAATGTAGTTATCTGTAATTTACTTGAATATTTTCACATTTTTTACTCCACTACATTTTGTTAGCAACTATTGTGCTTTTCATTTTTTTTCATTGTACTACATTTATATGACATCTTTAGTTACTATGCAGATTTATTTGCAGTTACTTTATATTTAAATCGACACACATTATTACACATTATTCTAGGTTGAGCTACCCAAAGTAATTCAAATATACCAAGTGCAACATTGAAATTATGAACAATAAATATCTGGTGCTTAAAATGGTCATTTTTCATAATAAAGAAGAAATTACAATTTTGAATTTAGGACTTTTACTAGCCGAGTATCTTTACACTGCAGTATTTGTTTAGTTAAGTAAATCTTCCACCTCTGGAGGTAACAGACTGAATGCTGGGTAAATCCTGCAGTCTGAATCCAGAGGTGGATTTTGGTGGAAAGGTTACATCTGACACCGGGCTGAGAGGCAGCTAGTTAAAGAAGGCTCTAAATGTTCCACCAAAAAAAAAAAAAAACTGCTTGAATGCCTCCAGGAAACACACACACACACACACACACACACACACACACACACACACACACACACACACACACACACACACACACACACACACACACACACACACACACACACACCAACAATACAATTTTGAACAAACAAACTCCCACACACATAAACAGAGCACATTCTGTACTCTAGGGGATACAAAGTAAGGCATGTGGCCAGTCATACATTACACAACACCATACGCAGACACACATACAGATGTAATAAATAAACAAGCTCAGGAAAAATCAACATCGAAAGTGGAAAGCATAACCTCTAATTCATCATTAGAGCAAATCGAGAGAGAGATGAAAATATAAACTTCCCCAAAGTTGACAAAGTCTCATAAATCCCAGAAATGAACTCAGTGAAGATACAGCAGAGTAAATGATTTAATGTGACTTCAAAGTTCTTTTGACAAGTCACTGATTACATTATGTATTATGTGAGAGAACACTTTCGTGATATCATTAGTTTGCACTGCTACTGTGGAAGAAAGAGTGGTTTTGCCCTTTGTCTTGTGTGTCAGATGCTCCATCACATGCAGCTCTATCCATTATGGTTCTTTCATGTTCTGACATCCTTGTGGAACACCTCCCTAATGGAGCTGTGTGTTTGATAGGCATAAAGACCATTACAGATGGATTAAGCAGACTGCATGTCAACAGCGACTGGTAGGGAAGTCAAATGGTCCGTTTCTACTGACACATGTGTGTTCTCAACCTGTACTTTTACACATACTGTGATGCACAAAGACTGTGTTGGGTCTGTCAGGATCAAACTGCCGTCCTCAGGCGCTCTTGATGTCTGACTGTGGTGGTCATGATTTTGATATGAAGCTTTAAAGCTCGGCTCTCCTGTTTCAGGGACCTTCTTCCCAAGTTAGTTCCAGAGGGAATTTGTCCGCCCGATTCCAAAGCTGCCTTACCTGCAGATACACCCAGGGGACCATTCCATTCCTGATGGCATCCCCTCCCATTCATCAGACTCTGGTTATACAGCCATGATTTAGTCCGGCCAACAGAGTCCTGTATCCAGTGACTTCCTCTTAGTCTTTACCTTGAAGACATTATCAGACTATTATCTCTGAAGAGTGCCCCCCTTTCCTGGGTAACCAAAAGCTCCCCTGTAGTTCTTCCAAAGGAGGTATTTGTCTTGTTGATCTGCCTCCACAAGGTGGATCTAAAAGGTGGTCCCAGACACATTTTGAAGACGTGATGGATCTTCCTTTAAAAGCCCATAGGTTAGCCTGATATACATGTATAGTAGGGGTCCCCACACACAGAAATTGCCGTATGCTAACTTGCATATGTTGGGCAATTTGCACAATTAGCATTAGTTATGTTAGTTAGCATTTATTACCATTATAACCTATGTGGACGATAGTTATAAAACATTTTCAGGATCTAAAATGGCAGTTTTAACCAGAAAGTGGATATTGTTTTGACTCCCTGTGAGCTGATTTTTGATGATCGGTTAACTTCAAACTCAGTTAAAAGTTATAGGATATCCGTCCACAAGCATTCTATAGAAATGCAGTATGCACATTTTTAATTTACGGCCCAATACATTCTGAGTTGAAAATGGAATATTGCAGATAACAAAGGGACGTATACCAACCTAAATAATACTTCAGGAGCCGTAGAAATTGTGTGCAATATCCAGACATTTATTTTCCTGTCAGGTGGAACATAAGGGTGCAGCCAAACACTCTGCCCAGGCTTTCGGTCGGGAATATCTTTAATTAACTGAAAGCCCTTAAGAAAGAAGCAAGAGTATAGTGTTTTTATACCCCTATAGGCATTAATGATGACCCTGAAGGGGGGGGGGGGGCACAGAATACAGGATCAGTCAGATGATGCATTAGTTTACACTCCCACTTCTGTGATCATTTGCAAATATTTTTGATGGATAAGAGGCCGGTTTAAACGAACAATGAACACCCACTCTGATTTAGAGGCCTTTTCACACCTGTTAGGGACACACCTTGACCCCTGATAGACACACACACACACACACACACCACACACACACACACACACACACACACACACACACACACACACACACACACACACACACACACACACACACACACACACACAGATTTGTTTCCACAGAGATTAGTTTCCGCTGTGTGTCTCAGCATGTTACAGCATGATGCATGGACTATTGTTTTTGTTTTCAGATGTGTGTTTGTGACCTTTGCTACCTGTTCTTGTGTGCCTCTCGTATCTATATATAATTGTTGTGAGTCTATTGTG